AAGAAATGGCGTGTCGTCTATTTCCGGTGTAGCAAACGTAGTACATAGGGCGACATCTAGATGTCATCTACCTCGCCCTATTCACTATGCTTTTTTATAGGAGCTTTTCAAAGCTTTGCTTTATGGTGTCGGACACACAACATTGAAAGTTTCTGGAACACAACATTGAAAGTTTCTGGAACACAACATTGCAAGTTGATTAAAGCGTTGTAATAAAAATGTTACCAGTTCTTGTCACCGCGATTCTAAGTACGTTGGTAATGCAGTTAAAATATTCAGCAATTCAGCTGTGAAGAATTGTGAAAACTCTGGCATTGCATATTTCACGGGGCAATACTTTGATACCAGCTTATGAGATGGTAACAAAAGTTACCGGTTACAAGAGTACACAGAATGCANACACACAACATTGAAAGTTTCTGGAACACAACATTGAAAGTTTCTGGAACACAACATTGCAAGTTGATTAAAGCGTTGTAATAAAAATGTTACCAGTTCTTGTCACCGCGATTCTAAGTACGTTGGTAATGCAGTTAAAATATTCAGCAATTCAGCTGTGAAGAATTGTGAAAACTCTGGCATTGCATATTTCACGGGGCAATACTTTGATACCAGCTTATGAGATGGTAACAAAAGTTACCGGTTACAAGAGTACACAGAATTCGAAAAGAGTTTAAAAATTGACAGGAACTTTATTTACCGGTTACAAACTTTTTATTACCAGCGCAGAATAGACCTGTAAGTGGGCATATTCTTATATTTCGTTTGAAAATTATTGTAAATATCATTTTTGAGTGAATTATCTTTAGTAGTTACTAAAATATCGCAGTTTTCGTATTTCTGGAAATTACCGTTATATGGGAATTGGGCGTGGTTACAATCCGATTTCGGCCATTTTCAATACCAACCTACCTTGGATAAGTGGAAACCTACATACCAAATTTCGTTGAGATATCTAAATTTTTGCTCGAGTTATCGTGTACACGGACGGACGGACAGACGGACATGGTTTAATCGACTTCTCTATTGATTCTGAGCATTTATGTATACATTTGTCTATATCTATCTCGATTCGTTTTGGCTGTTACAAACAACCGTTCTGTGAACAAAATTAATATACCCTTGTGCACAAGTGCGCTCGGGTATAAAAATACAAGCGACTCAATGCCCAT